AAAAAAAAAAAAAAAAAAAAGTCTGGCTCCAAAGAGTTAATTTTTCTTTATGATTCAGGATTATCGTTAGAATTAGCTACTGTATTCTACAGCAGGGTTATTGGACTGAATTAATACTGATCTGTGGGCTTCCCTGATACTTGATTGTAGAAGAAATATCTTGCATCAATTTGAGCTATTGTCATTTGCTTATTTTATAAAAATATGTAGTGCAGTTTATGCAGAATTAATACTTATTCGGAGATGAAGGAGTACTTCCCAAAGTGTCTTTATCCTTTAAGTAAATCACTTCTTATTATACCCTATATCTTTGCTTACCTATTCAACTACTGTCCACAATAAAATATGGCCACTTCATTTGTTCAACATAGTTTGTTACTTAATCCTCTTTACCTATGGTAGTATGCTCTGTAGATTAATGTATTAATTAAGAAGTGGTAAATACAGACCTTTGTGAAGTAATTCTTTAAAATATGTATACTGGAGAAAAATCCAGACTTTTTAATCAGGAAAGCATAGAAAATGGCATCTCTCTCTCCCTCCCTCTCTCTCTCTCTCTCTCTCTCTTTTTTTCCCCCAGTACCGGGCATTGAACTCAGGGACCTTGTACCTGCAAGGCAGGCAGCAAAACCACTGAGCTAAATCCCCAGCCCAAATGGCATCTCATTTTGACCACCACGCTTCCATTTGTCACATAGAAATTTATTTAGAAAATCTTTGGGACAGTATAAGTATGTAAGTCAGTTTGCATTTTCAAAAGTACAGATATAAATGTGTGTCTTGGGATTTTGTTTTGTTTTTAAAATCTGTACATTTCTTGAAGCTTTTTAAACTTCTAAACCTCCTTTGAGTACTTGAGAGTGCCAGCTAAGTCAGACGCTGGGTGGTGGGGTCATCACTGTGTGCTCTTATTTCCCTTATGTGAGCTTTATCTGTGGCTCTGATGAATCTAGGCAGTTGGTCCCTTTTAAACCACACATGAAATACCTTGACATGGTAGATGATTTTTTGTTTAAATAAAAGGAATTGTTTGCAGAGCATTAAAGTTTTGGGGAAGGAGAGCAGTTTTGCTGATCTTCACTTTTAGAAACTACTTCATTTTTAAGCCCTTCTCATGCTTTTGACTAGCTTCCAGCAACTCGCATTCCTTTGAAAACTCAGAGCACCGCTGTTCTTCTATGGGTTTTTTTTTTTTCCCACTGAGGATTACTCTGGTTTCGTTTCACTGAATTATGAAGTATATGGAAAATATGTTTTTTAGAATCTGTCAGAATATCTGTCTGAGGGAGGAGGCAGAACTCCCAAGAAGGGAGTTATCTCTTGTCTCCTGGAAAGAGAAGAGAAAAATCATTCATCATGATGTTTTATATATATGTATAACATTTTATTTCTTTCTCCTGTTCTTCTAAACCACAACTGATTAGGTAAACATTAGTAATGGTGCAGGTTTAGGATTGTAGGGAGAGAGCTAAAGAAAATAAATTCTGTTAGTTTAAAAGGTTTATAACTAATAAAATAACATGATTTTAACTACTCTAACACAAAGAATATTTAGTAGCTTGGAGCCCTCTGTTTCAGAGGGCATTCAGAAATACTCCATAGCAGAAGCAAATCACCACTAGACTTTAAGCCTTTGGTTTTAGTTTAGCTGTGTTAAACTTGACCATTATAATTTTCCAAATTATTGATTAAAGCCTGATGTGCATTCTCAGTATGTTCTGCATTTCTGTTCTTGGGTTAATCCTCAGATAGAGATAATACTTCTCTCATGAATTTTCACTTTGTACTCATTTTATACAATAGAGGTAACTAGCATGTTACCTATAGGTTAATTGCATATTTGAGAATAGTGGATTGAACTGAAATCATATTTACCTCGTATTAATCCATAAGAAAAACCTGTTTGGGGAATGTTAAGGATGTTAAGGGAGCCTTAAATTTATATTATAGTAATTATTTTTAATAAAAAGCATCTCTCACATAGTGATTTCCTAATAAATATTTGGGCAAGTATCATGTGGCCTTTCTCCCATTACATTCAAATTAAATTCTCCCACCTTTTTTTTTTTAACCTCCAGTCAGAGCACCTAGATATCCAGTTTGTTGTAGGTGTTAATTTTAAAAAGACAATTTCTGATTCAGGATGTGAGTTTGAAAATGAGCATCTCTAACACCCATGCAGAATGTGCTTCCTTTCTCTCTTGCACTGCACTCTAAACTTGAAATCCTCATGTACTGAATTCATACCTGCAAAAGACTGATCCAGTAGCATGGCAGTGTGAGAGAGAAGTCACTCAGAGCCATTGGCAGAGGTTTCCTGGAACAGAGGATACAAGAAAAAAATACATGTAGTAGGGAGTGTGATAAACAAAAACAGACAAAGTTAAAACTGTGAGCTTTTAAACTCTGATGGGTGAAACCAGAAGTTTGAAAACATTGTTTTAAATCAAAGCAAAGATTGGCAAAATTTTTCTGTAAACAGGTAGTAAATACTTTCAGCTTTGGAGGCCGTACTGTCTCTGTTGCAGCCTCTCACTTATGTGCTGGTAGAGTGAAAACATCCATGCAGAACATGTGGATGAATGAGTGTGGCTGTCTTCCAATAAAACTTTATTTACAAAAGCAAGGGGCAGGCTGGATTTGGCTTGTAGGCTCTAGTTCTGAGACTCCTAATCTAGAGCAACAGATCCACTCAACACCAGTTGTTCACCCTACCCCATTTCTGATGCAGTAGGTCTGGGGTGAGAACTGTCATTTCATGTCACACAAGTGCCTATGGGGTACTAAGCCCACTTTTTTGGCAACCACACTTGGAGAACCATCCAGTCAGAGGAAAGGAGATTAAAATTTTCTCCCCTTGGGTTTTTTTTTTTTTTCCTCCTGTCTTTGGAAAGGGAGATTAAATGCATTAAAATTTAGTGTTGCCTTTATAAACATTCAGCCATTGATTGTATAGGAATTTTGTTGCCATCTTTTTCACCCCCATGTACCACAGTCTCATAAATAAGTTATCAGATTTTTTTTTTTTTTAATACCAGGGATTGAACTCAGGCCCTTGTGCTTTCAAGGCAGGTGGCAGAGCCACTGAGCTAAATCCCCGGCCCTCAAAATACTTTCTTGATCATTCTTTTTCTCAAGATTTATTCTGTCCAGCCATCACAGCTCCCAGGATTCAAGTCTCAGGTAGACAGAGATGAGTAGTGGGAGATATTCCTCCCTTTTTGTTTTATTAATAATAGCCACCACTTCATAAGCGTTTATGTGTTCCAGTTCGATTCCAGGTGCTCTGCGTATAGTAACTCATGTAAAATGAGCCTCGGGATGCTTGTGGGCCTGGCCAGAGTATTGGTGGCTGGGATGGTAGAGTGGATCTGTTGTAGATTAATAAATCCCATCATGTGTCTCTTCTCTTTCCTCCCTCCCTGCTTCCTTGTCATGCTGGCATCCTGCCCTAAAGGAGAAAGCGAAAACACTTTTCTTTCAGCTCAGTTGGGGCACTTGCTGTGTGACTACTGGTGACATCAGCACAAGTAGCTCTGCATGTTGGGCTCCATAAGGAGGGCCACACTGCTGCAAGGCCCCACTGACCTGACTCTAATTGCCAACCCTGAGCTGAGTTATTCTTGGCCCAGCAGAGTGATTACTCTGTAGTTTCTGTTAAAGTGATCCTTTGTTAAACTTCATCCCAACCCACTCCCCAGGCCTTCCCTCCCACTCTCTTCTCTGCCTCATCCAGACCAAAAACGAGCCCAAAAAGAAAAATAAGAACATTTCTGTCCTTATCAACCTATACAGATATTTTTGTAAAGCATATTCATTCTATCATGAAATTACTCATTATTTTTACTCTCCTTTGTACCTGTTTCTGTAGCAATTATGAGCAAATCAATTTGCATACCACTTTTATTGTCCAAGTAGCTAATTAGTATTTCGTGAGACTGGACATTCTTCTAAGACACCTTTTTACACACCCACCCACCCCCACCCCAGTACTGTGGATTGAACTCAGGACATGTGATCTATCAGCACAGGCCTGATTGGTTCTGTTGTTAGGTGGGGGTGGGACTGCCAGGGAAGGAAGGTCATCTGTGTGATGTCCTTAGGCTACTTCCACTGGGTTTTGTGGTCATGGGCAG